TATGTAGCTAGTCATATGTGGACAGTACAGATATGGAACATTTTCATCATCATAGAAAATACTGCATCACAGAAAATACAGGATCTAGGATCCTAGAGAGTAGGTATCAAGGAATAGGAACCCACGAGAAACAATGAAAGAACCGAGGCTTAGGTAATAAGTCTTAGCATCATGAATCTAGACCAAGAGTTTAGGTATTGAGCAAAGTGACAAAGCTGGAAGAATTTACTCTTTTGTCAAAGGCCTCCTGAAGCCATGCAAGAAACTGTGTATGAGTGGTAACACAGCCCAAACTGGCATCTGTGTTAAATTGTATACTCTATCTCATTATGTCATAAATAGCTTCAGGAGAGGAGGGGTGCCTATTGAAAAGATTTCATGGAGCAAGAGTGAGATGACCTAGCCCATGAAGAATCATTACTAAAATGTATGGACAGTGGCTGGAATATTGAATGCTTGCCCTCTGTTAACTCATATAACTTCCCTTCTGTACCATTCAAGATGTAAAAGTGTGTATCTTGATGGTGATGGTCACACTACTACTGTCCTTAGGTATATTTCAGCTTTTCTTTTTACATATTAAGTAAATAGGGTAAAAGGCAAACAACTGATTTATTCAAACTGAGCAGAAAAGAATAAAATATTTAATTTCGAATTTCATTGTGTTTTGCTGTTTTGGATTCCTTAAAGGTATGTGACTTAAAATGTAGATACAATGTATATTGGAAGCAATCGAAACATGTATACAGGTCCTATTCCCAAATACATGGAATGGTGTTAATGTGCTTGCAGCATAGAGCCATTTTGGTTAGACGATTATAGTAGCAGCTTACTTGTACTTTTGGTGAAATGGTAAGCTAATGATGTAGCCGTTAATTTGAATTTAGCAGACATTTAAAATATAGGTTTCTCTTACAGAGACAAAAGTTGCAATTTAAAGCTCTTTGGTGGTCTAAAAACAGCTTAATTCTGTAGTAGCATGGTAATAAGTACTAATCCAGCTTATACAGTGATTGTAGTATGTCATGTTTGTGAAAGATTGCTCAACTGCTTTCTCTGGGTTTTATGTTAATTTAAAAATAGTAAACATAAAACCTTATAACATCTTCATGCTGAGATAAACTGGTCAATTTAACTTGTGCTCAAGCAGCAGCTGTCAGGAATTACCTTGTTCCTCGTGGTTTTTGCTATCACCTTGTGTCCTTTCCTGCTAGAGACACACTGTGGGATGATAAAGTGCACCTTGTTAGGATTTATTGCTTAAATAATACCTGAGGCAAGATGAGCATTGGTAGCCCGGGGATTAGCTGCTGATCAAGTGATGTCATTCACTGTATTATAATCAACTTTTAAAAATTGATAGTAGTAAATTTTGATTTATTAAATTTTGTATTGCCTATGGATTGCCTGCATTCCCTTTGTGGGCATATTCATTACTTCTTTTTGGATGTTGTTGAGCTAAATATTTGAGAAATTGCTTATTGACCACTTTACCATTTTACAAGCAAGAAAAGCAAAGAGAAATGATGGAGATAATTTCCACTATTTAAAACTAGTGAGGGCTATTTCAAGATTAATTATACAAATAGAGTGAATTTTCTTTTAATGATTAAACAAACTGAAAGAAGTGTTGGCATGGGCAGTCTCAAATGGTGAATATTATGAAAATTATTGTTGTTGGCCGGGCGCGATGACTCACGCCTGTAATCCCGGCACTTTTGGAGGCCGAGGCGGGCGGATCACGAGGTCAGGAGATCGAGATCATCCTGGCTAACATTGTGAAACCCTGTCTCTACTAAAAATACAAAAAATTAGCTGGGCGTGGTGGCGGGCGCCTTAGTCCCAGCTACTCGGGAGGCTGAGGCAGGAGAATGGCGTGAACCCGGGAGGTGGAGCTTGCAGGGAGCCGAGATGGTGCCACTGCACTCCAGCCTGGGCAACTGAGCGAGACTCCGTCTCAAAAAAAAAAAAAAATTATTGTTATTTCTCATATGAATATATTGCCTTCTTTTATTTGGAAGGTTTTCTTTGGAAGGCTGGTTGGATTCTTTGGTTGTGGATAAGCTGGTGGGTAGGGGGACATGTGGTAGAAATAGAGTGAAGGGCTGCTCTCGGTTAAACATTAGCTATAGATAATTCACCCTGAGGGTAATCCTCATGTAGAAATTAACAGTTGGAATATGGCTTGAAATACAGATATGATGGGTTTATTGTTTATGGAATATAGAACTGTTTTCTTCTACTTACTGCCATTTAATGCCTATTACTTCAAATGTGTAGTTTTATAAATGTATAACTTACCCAAAATTTGCAGTAGGACAATGTCTTGCTCCATGAAATCTTTTTATTAGACTCTCCCCTTCCCCTGAAGCTATGAATTACTACACACCTGTTCACATAGATTAATCAATTGTTAATGTGTTTGCACATTTTTAATTTTTCTATCTCTGTAAATATATACATATTAATATTTATTATTAACAGCAGTTTGGCTGAACTATTTAATAATTAACTGCAGACAACATGGCATTTCACATCTAAATAATTTGACATGAATCTCCTAAGAATAAGATTATTCTCCTACATAACTGTAATAAAATTATTGTATTTAATAAATTAAAGATTGACAAAAACTTGCAGTCTTATATTCAGCCCACATTCAGATTTTTCCTATTGTCCTAATAATGTCCTTACTAGGTGTGCTTTCCCCTTCCAGTATCCAGTAAAGGATCACTTACTGGATTTTGTTTTTGGTGTCTTTATTTCCTTTAATCTAGATTTTTTTCTTTTATGATATGGCATTTTTAGAGATCCAGTGAATTATTTTGCAGAATATTTGTCTGGTTATTCCTTACCAAATTCAGATTAGGCATTCTTGGCAGGAATACTACACTGATGATTTGTATCTTTCTCAATGTATCACATTTAGAAATACAGGATATCACTTTGTCCCATTATTGGTCATAGAAAGTTTGATCACTTGGTTAAATTGATTTCTACCAGATTTCCCCATCATAAAAGGTATATTTTTGTAATTAATAACTCATATGAAGGCTTCTTTTAATGCATTTTTCTGCCTTGTGTGTGAAAAAAAAATTGTGCTTGCCCAGGTGATAATGATTAAGAATGGGTTTCATTGCTTCCAGTAATATGTATGGTCAGGGATGGGGATAGTAAGAAAGAATAGAAGGAGAGGAGGAAGGATTACTCTGTAACTAGACCTACAAGTTGCCATGTATTCCCTTTTAAGGAAAGTATTGTTTGAAATTAATATTTTGTTGCTTTGTCTGCTGAAGATGAGATTTTTAGGTAAGCAAATATCTTCATGTTTCAGAATTTTCAATGTAAGTTTTAGAGAGGCTTATATGTGATAGTGGTAGAGGGAATATGTTTGGACAAAATAGGGCATTGTTTGGCTATAATTTTTTTTTTATTTGGGTATAGCCAGACAAGTTTAAAAAAAAAATGCGTCTCCTTGGTAAGATTTTTTTTCCCTTAAAGAGATAAATTATAACATTAATATAGCTATGTAGGTTTGAAGAGGGATTGCTGGCTTTTGGTCTTACGTGCCTCTTTTAGCCCATGAAGAAGACACTTGAATTCCTACTTGTGATATATGTACTTATTATGTAATCATTCTTCTTATGTGAAAGGCTAGTGCAGCAGATCGTATAAACACCTGAAGTTAGCCATTTGGCCTGTCAGCAAGGGAGGATTTATAGTAGTTGTAATCATGGTAATAACAAGGATGATATTTTGTATTTATTAAGTACAGAAAAAAGCACTTGCAATGTAAGTGGTCCGCAACCAATTCATATCTGTGGTGTAATGAAAAGCAGTTTGAGCTCTTAGAAGACCAGCAGTCTCTCTGCTTTGCCACTTTCTACCAGTGTGATTCTAGAAAAAACTCTTAACCTTCTTGAACCTGATTTTTTAGAATGGGAATTAAAGCTATAAAGGTCAAATTATGTTACACTATGTTATAAAGGTGGCATTCTATCAAAATTGTGCCATCTAAATGTCCTCAGCTGCTCAAGACCTGTACTTTGTCCCTCTTTTGTGTCCATATGCAATAGGTACCTCATTAGGGAAACATTTCCAGGTTGTCCCAGACAATTAGAATTGCTTTCTGTTTGTTTCTCTAATGTTTTGTGTATGTCTGTATTACAGGCAGCATTTATCCTGCTGAGCTGTCTTGTTCCATCTTTTCTGTTCTTCCTGGTTAGACCCTGGCACATAGTAGGCATTTAGTAAATATATGTGGAATGAGAGAGTAAATTGACACTTTTTTTCATTTATAAACATGGATAGGCAAGCTTTCAGTTTCCCTTTTTCCCTAAAGATAAGGAATCAGCCTTTCATCAAATTTTTATATTTGTGCTTTATTAAGGGATTTTACAGATCATGCATCTGGTACCATTAGCAGTCCAGTAATGGAGAAGAAAAGATATTTTTAAAAATACAAGTATTGTAAGATACTTTACAAGTGAGGGGAGGGTAAGAAAACATGCCAAGAGAAAAAGACCATACTAGATAAGCCTATTGCATAAATCAAAAGGGTTTATGTCATAACATGAACATGTGCCATTCCTGCTCATACATTGAATTTCAGTAGTTGGTTGCATAAAGAAGGAAAGTGTAATGAAACTGGCAAGCAAAGTATTCCCCAGTCAGCCTTATCTTTGTTCCATTTGTCCTTCAGATAGAGCTTTTCTTGCCTTTTTCAATAAGATCCATCCGGCTTTTTTTTTTTTTAAACATTTCTCAGTAACTGCACTGAGAAGACCAGTGAGATTCGGGGACTTTATAGTTCTAAGCAGCTGCTTTTTAAGAGATCAAAACTTAGAATGCTGCTACATGGTATTAAGGCTCAACTATTGATGTGTGCCTATAGGGGATGTGTTTTTCTTGGGGTGGGAAGAGGAAAGAGGAGAGAAGAGCAAAGCATGACCCCTTCAAACATACTTGGGACAGTAAACCCCAATTTTCTTGTTTCCTAGGACCCTCTTTGCAAGTTCAGTGCTTAACCTGACCGAACTGGCTGCCCTTCGGCCTGACCTTGGGAAACTGAAAACGATTCTGTATTTTCACGAGAACCAGTTGATATATCCTGTCAAGAAATGTCAGGAGAGGGATTTCCAGTATGGATACAACCAAATTCTTTCATGGTAGGTATACATTGTATCATTGTATTTGGCCCTTTGCTACCTTTTTCTTTGTAGGTGGTTACATTTTAAATCTGGAGACCTACTACCATACACCTTTTTAAAAAACACCATAAGGTAGGTACAGATATTTAAACAATTCTTCCTTCTGCAGTATATGTAAGTTCACTAATCATTTTATAAAAATACATATATGTAACAATCTAATTATATGTTGAGCTAATTATCTATTTTTCACAACATTCAAAATAGAATTAAAAGGTTGGCAGGGACCTTCACCCCTTGATTTCATAATCTATTGCTTAAGGCATTTAGAAAGTGCAGTTAGTCAACTCTTACTTACTAATCATGATCACTGTATTCAGCTAAAATCAAAATAGAGTTTTACAGAAAAATAAAAATTAAAGCATAATGGAGCAACTTGGGGTTTTGCCTCCCCCGCCTTTTTATTTTATTGTAAGACAGAGATGAGTAGGGAAAATGAATCTTTAGGTAGTGCTTTCTTTTTTCCCTCATTGAGTCTTCTGAAATGACACAGCCTTAAAATACCATGACATTTTAAAGGTGATGGTCCTTCTCTATTGTTACTTCGACAAAGTGTATCTCCTGAAGCTTAGTTAATGAAAGAAGTTAATAACAATTCTGAAATGGCTTTGCTGTTGGATCCTATTCACATAACTGCAACAGTCAAACGGAATCTGTTTGTCAGTGATTTTGTACATTTTATTCATCTTTATTAACAGCTATTAGCAGCTGGGTTTGATGATGTGTTTATACAGACCCCCAACTCTTGCAAGAATGTTTCATAGTTTAGTTGACATAGAAAAACGCTATATAGTAATAATTCTGTGTTGTGTGCATTTTGTGAATGTTTTCCTACAATCATTTTTACAAGCTGCTTCAATTGTGAAGTAGCAGTGCTATCAAAATAGAGTGGAACTGCTTCACGTCAAATGTCTCATAAAAAAAAAGCAGCCGTTTTAAAATTTCATAATAAAATTAAAATACTTTATATTGAAGCAGAGAAGGAAAATATGTTTTAAAAATGAAAATAAAATCATTTTGTGCTTTATCAATATGGGAAACATTTGTAATATTCTTTTGATTTCTTGAATTAGCATCATTCTTTTCCTCAGATAGTATGTTTATTACCCCTGAGAAATCACTGGGAAAAAAAACTAAGTCTATTTTTCCCTTTATGGGTGGCTTTAAAGTTAATGGAAGTTACATCCACTCATATCAGGGAGGAAATGTACCAAAAAGGATATTTCTGTAAACTATCTTGGATCTTTAATTTAGCATAGACTGGATTTTTAAGAATGTTAAGTTGTTGGGTCACATGCCCTTTGAGGGAAGCTGTCTAAAACAATTCAGCTCTCGATTCCCCCTCATTTTCACAAAACATTGTTTTTGCTCATAGGCAATGAGACTATAAAAGTTTTGTACATGATTTTTCAGCATTGCTTTTCTCAAGAGGGTAAACTTATAGACAAGCTTGGAGAAAGAGAAGTGGACTTCATCATCAGTTGGCTTCTTAATGGGAAAAAAATGGTTCACAGTTGTCCAGAGGAAAAATAAGAGTGTCAAAAGGCAGTCCTGTTCAGATTCTCTTTGAAAAGTATGACTCCTGCTTCCTCACATGTTTCTTTAGTTTTCTTGCTGACTTCTGCTTTTTTGGCACTGTCAGACTTCTTTCTTGACTGTGTGGCAGTTAAGGACTTCAAAGATGACTGACATAAGTACTCACCTTAAACAGTGGTTTCACTAACCCTCTGACTTATGAACACATGTCACAACTGTATATTATGACCTGTAGGTCGTTATTACAATATGTGACATATGGTGAAAACAGACTAGCTGTAAAACATCCTTCAACTTTTGGTATATTGTTATCTTGGCTTCCTTATTGCTTAGTGTTGTGTCAGCACTTCTGTGACATTCCTTTGTATTATTCATGTTGTAATCACCCGCACCCCCCAAATTTGCACTAGGTAGCAACTGATAAACAATACTTGTATGGAAAATCAGTTTTTTTTCGGGGGGGCATGGGAGTAGCAGGCCAACACTCTTTTTGTTCATTTTTTATTCTGCTATATATTAACGTTGTAATAGTAAATTTGGCTGTCTCAGCAAATATGACTTAAACGAAACTGACGATTGACTATGGCATTCCTATTCTATAAGCGCTACTTATTCTGTGGTGTTCTGCAGTCCTGTGGACATAACATGTCTTCTTTCCAGTAGTATTGATCTATCATTTTCAGGGTAGAATAAAACCAATTGCTTTGTCCCTTTAATCTTGTATACAGATGCTCCTCGACTTAGGATAGGATTACAGCCTGGTAAATCCATTATTGTGAGTTGAGAATATTATAAGTTGAAATGCATTTAATACAACTAGCCTATCGAACATCATAGCTTAGCCTAACTTACCTTCAACATATTCAGAATACTTATATTAGCCTACAATTGGGCAAAATCATCTGGCAGCACAGGACACTGTAGAGTATTGGTTGTTTACCCTTGTGATCATGTGGCTCACTGAAATTTGTACCTCACTGCTGCTGCCCAGCATCGTGAGAGAATATTGTGCACATACCATTAGCCCAGGACGAGATAAAAATTCAGTTTTCGAAGTATGGTTTTAATTGAATGTATATTACATTTTCACCATTGTGAAGTTAAAAAAATCTTAAGTTTGAACCATTGTTGTTGCGGACTGGTATTATGACATTTATTTTGTTGAATTCAAAGGTCCATGGTGTTGCGGTGCTTTATAATTTATATGTACCTTTATGTAATCAGTTAGAACCTAGTGATCTGGATTTCTGGATCCATTTCTACCAATTTCTTCTATTTCTCTAGCTAGCCCAATATAATATAATATGATAGTGAAACAAACTATTTTGGGATACCATAATCCTTTCTGTATAGTCCCAGAAATTTCAAAAACTTAACACAGTTCTTGAAGTAAAGGCTAAAGCAAGAAGTAGACTTTAACCAAATAGTGCTGAAGGTATCATGCCTTAGTATGAAAATAGTTTTGTCTGAATTAGTCTCCTTGAAGTTAGAAGTGTGACAGATGTTCTGTTCTCGGTAGTGTGGTATAAAACGATGCACATCACTGACATAGAAATTCAACATGGGTAGTTGGGCCATGAAGAAAAAGGAATTGCTGTACTTAATGTTGTTGATAATATAGAAAGTTCCTGGCATTGTGGAAAATTATGCTTTGGTTTGGAGTCTCATGCAATCCCATTAAATCATTCCATTTCCCTATTGCCTTTCCAGTCTGATGCCACCAATCAACTCCCTGTGATATAACAGTAGTGAAACTAACTTAGCTCTTAGAGACATTTTGGTAGATACTGATGTGAAATGAAGAGTTCTTTGCAAACCTAAGGTGCAGTAAAAACTCTGATTAATCCATAGAGGTCTTAGGTTGATAAAAATTACTCTGAATGAGTCTGGGCTCATCATTTGCATTTGTCTTTTACCTTAACAGCCTGGTGGCTGATGTGGTTGTATTCAACTCAGTTTTTAATATGGAATCATTTCTCACTTCCATTGGAAAATTTATGAAGCTGATTCCTGATCACAGACCCAAGGATCTGGAAAGCATCATCAGACCCAAGTGCCAAGTTATTTACTTTCCCATCAGGTTTCCTGATGTGAGCAGGTCAGTATGTTCGACTCTGTTCTCAATATTGTGTCATAAATTATTACTTAAGTGTATAGAAATTGATGTTCTTCATGCCAGTTTTAACTTTTCAGCCTAAGTATGGTTAATTAGAGAATTTAGTTCTATCTTACCATGCTGTGATTTACAGAGATTTTAAATCATCATGTGTCTAACCCATCACTAAATAGTTCAGATATTGAGTCCTTCCTTTCTTTCCTTTTATTTATTTGTTTGTCAAAACAGCCTAGTGTTTTTTTTCTTTATTTTTTTTGTTACAGAAGTCATTGTCAAGCATATTTCTCAACCTTTGCATTCAGCTTATGTCCTTTGATTTATATATATAATAACTGGTCTAGATAAGTCAATGTTAAATCTCACTGCTTGGATTAATTCATTTCCCATACTATTTTCTTTTATTTTTTTCTTTATTTTTAATTATTTATATTATCTTAATAAAGAGTCAAGTCTTCTGTATTGGTTTACAAATGTACCTAATTGCCATTTCTCTTTCTTAGTTACTAAGGACATTTTTTTTTATTACCCTTGTTGCTGGGCCCACCTTGAATTAGCAGTGGATGATGTGGCTCAAAGGAAACATTCTGGAATTCCTTTTCACTTTTGATTAAACCTAGAAAAACTGTTTTTACTACCACTAGGAATATTTCTCCCTTGTGAACAGAAAGTTTACTTCAGCGGGACTCACACTAGCGGGAGACACTGCTGTTTTTTACTGACTGCTTTCTTAAAAGAGTTCAGGAACAGCTGTTTCATCCTCATCCCTGCAATGAAGGCAGGAAATGATTTAATATCCAAACATGCTATGCAAGAGGTCAGCATTAACTTCTATGTTCTGCACTACTGACTTCACCCATATTTTGCTGTAGAAATGGTAGTCCTCATCTACACCCCATTGCTGATTTATTTGAGTGTCTTATTTGTTAATATTTCACCGAAGAAAAATCTGCCCCATAGAAAATCAAGCTAGTGAGTCATAAAATTTAAGTTAGACCATCTTGCTTAATCTTTATAGAGTACAGAAAACAGAGGCCCAGAGAAGTAGAGATTGGCTTGTATTCACCTTGTCATTGTCACAGACTGGATTAACATCTAGGCTTTATGACTTCTGATTCCAATTTCTACTTACCATTCAAGCATCCTGTCATTACAGGTCATTTGTCAAAAACAGTTTATGATTTATTTGCTGTTTTGAAAACTGTAAAGCTAAGTGGAGCCATGATCACAAGCAATTTTCAGAATATATATGTAATTATGTATATTATCTGTATGTATTTGTGCATACAGTTTTCTTATGTGTGATGAGAGAACTTCAACTTTTGAAAACTGCAATAGTTATACTTTGCCTGTGATTAACTAGAGCAGTTATATATCTGAATTTTAAAAAATATGAACCTTATATTTTGACATGTTTTAAGGTTTTTTAACATCACATATAGGCAAAACGTATATCTATAAGTGTGTTGGTGGTTATAGCTTCTCTTAATTATTACTGCCATAGAATTCTAAGTAAATGTTTTAAAATTCATTTACATCAGATATGTTTCTGCAACATCTTATGTTTAATATACCTGTGGCAGTTGAATAGTTTATTAATTTGGATGATATTACCATAAAGGAATCTAGCTAAATAGAAAAAGGTTAAGAAATATTGTGGCCAAGATAACATTCATAAGCAAGGAGTGTTATTTAAATTATTTTCAAATGGTAATTTGCTTTATGCAACCCAAACTCATATAGTGTAAGTAAGTGATTATTTGCATGAATGACAATCATTCTAAAGCCTGCAGTTTCAAAACCGTATTATTTTGTTGAGATGTTGAAAAGTATTTAGTAATTCCAAAAGCAAAATAACCAAGGTGATTAAAAAACATATTTGAAGGCTTGTATCTTTCTCCCAATCCAAATATTATTTGGTCATGGGAAAAAATGAATTTAACTAAAAACAAAGCAGAAGATACAGTTAAATTATTAATCATTGTGCTATATAATATAATGGATATTAATTAGAGAGGGGAGAAAAGCCATATTTCCAACAAAATAAATGAAGATTTTTAGAATTTCTGTCTGTTAAAACTCAGAGCATGTCTGTCACTTCGATGGTTTCGCTAATATTGGATTCATGGCACTTACTGCTACCTCTTGCCTTCCTCACTCATCTCCTGAGTCACTCCCAAAGACCAGATAAATAGCAAGAGAGTGTATTCCCTTGAAAACATTTCATTATCTGTATTGAATATTTTGGGATGGGAAAGCTCTTAGATGCCGTAGTCATGTATACGTGTATTGAGTTTTGACCACCACTTACTAGCTGTGTGATCTGTACCTGTGGAATGACCTTGCACTTAGGTTTGTTAATGGTTGTGATTAAACCATCTCATAGGGATGATGCGGTGATTAAATGAAATAATGTATACCATGTACCTAGGATAGTGCTTAGCATACAGTAGACCCACAATAAAAGGTTATTTTATCTTATTACCCCCCCATTAATTTATAACCTAGCATATTTATTGGCATCTGAATATAGAGGACTATCTTCCCTCCACCCCTTACCATCCTATAATTGACACATGAAAAGAGAACTACTCTCCTAAAAGCTGAATCTAATATAAATAAGGAGATTGGTTTTGTTTATTTTCTTTATCACCTTGAGTCAAACAATCCTTTGGCCTCACCAGACCCTACTATCCATTGATTGAGCCAACTTAATTTCACTCTTGTCCTATTTTCTCTTTCTTTGTCCAGCTTAACTTTCTTATTCCATCATTATGTTTACTCCCTTGCATATCCTCTCAAATCTTTTACACCTTTTGTTTCATATTTGATTGGCAAAAACCCTCATCTGTTTAAATCTATGTGTTCATACACTTTCTTCCTATAATCATGGACTAAACATGACTGGAGAAAAGCATGTCATACTTATTAGCATGTTCTAAATGTATGACTCCTAAGATTCAGATGGGCCCTTTGAGCTACCTGGCAAGCATTTCCCTTCTAGATAATTATGCCTTCTACTTTTTAAAGAACACTCCAGTACCAAATCTTCTATCTTCATTCTCAGCTGATGACTGAGGAAATAGAAGCAATCAGAAGACAACTTTTATTTATTGATACTACCAGGTCCACCCAATTATGTGCTACTTCTGGGTGCATATTCTCCATCTTCTCACCTGTTACTGGGGATGAGCTGACCTCGCTTCTGTGTAAGGCCCCATCTCCACTTTTCCAGAACTCATCCATCCCACGTACTCGAGGCCTATTGTCCTGGCAGTTTTTCCTGGTCTATTCTGCATCATCAGTTTTCCTTTCTTCTGAATTATTCTTATTTTTCTTTTGTCTGAATTATTTCTATTAACATACAAAACTATTACTATTTCTTTCATCTTAAACTTTTTTTTCTCCTTATTCCACTTCCCCCTTCTACTACCTCATTTCTCTCCTTCTCTTAGTAGCAAAACCTCTTAAAAGAGTTGTTTATACTTGTTCCTTCCTCCTGTTTTGAGTGAAAAGTATTCCACTGAAATTGTTTTAGTCAGGATCACCACTGTCTCTAAATCCTGTGTTCAGTTCGTAGTCCGCATCTTACTTATCATAGCAGCAGCATTTGACACACCATGACACATTCTTCACTTGTCTTAGCACACATAGTCCCCTGATTTTCACACAGACTACTGCTTCTCAGGCTCCTTTGCTGGGTTCCTCATCATCGTCCTGACTTTTTTACATTGAAGCCACTTTGGCATTCTTGACACTTAAGGGGTTGGTGGAGGAAGAGCCCAAGATTGAAGTGAGAAGAATAAGTAAGAGTCAGGAGGTCAACGCTGAAATAATTATCCTGTGGAACAAAGGGGAGAGAGTTCTAAGGAGATAATCATTAGTGAATTCACAGCAGTGAGGTTAAGTAAAGTGATGACTAAAAAGCGTCCTTGAATTTGACCATTAAAAGGTCAGTGGCATCCACCCTGCATTCTATTAAGTCACAGAAAAGTTTCATGTGTATTCTCACAGCCAAAGAAACTTAAGATTCAGGTCTGGATGGGATCTGTCTCTGTCTCTGACACACACACACACACACACACACACACACACACACACACACTCCCCTTATTTTATGGATGAAGGTGCCAAGGCCCAGAGAAGTTATATGTTTTCTGGCAATCACACAGCTAGATATAGGCAGAGCAGGAACTAGAACTTGTATCTCAAAATCTTCATCCGGTGCTCAGCCCACCACTTATTGTAAATGCAATTTCGGAGGTCTTGATTATCTGATTTTTCAGCTGACAGCAGATTAGCAGCATCAAATTGGGGGTGTGATAAAGGCAGTCTCACTGACAGCAGTAAAAAGTGACAGCTGACTGACAGCTTGACAACAAGGGAGGAGAGAGATAAACCATTTTGAAAAAAATATATGGGAAGTTAAAAAAAAAAAAAAAAAAAAACACATAGCATCCTGGAGCCATTCTATGGCAGGGCAGGCAACTCTGCACATCAAATAACCCCTGCAGACATTTCTTCATGATTGTACAGCTTGTACATCAAAAGGATGACTGTGATTTATTAAGAGAGATTAAATGGTAACCAGTATGTTTCATTTTAAGAATGTAGGAAAATGCATAATCCACTTTTGGCAGAAATTATAAATGACAGCAAATGGAGTTAAACATTATACCTTACTTTAAGATGTGCATGAGCTGTGTTCCCCTAAAGGAAGACAGTACACATCTAAAGCCTTTCTTGTGCAGTTGTAATGTCTTTCAGTTTTCAGTGACCAGGAGACATGTTATTAAGCTAGATCTCCCTGATTACAGCTTTGCATTGACCAAATTTCCCTTTTCTGCTATGTTGTAGACACTGGCTTCTTCCATACTGAAGGCTTCCAGGCCCACAAGATAGGTGGTCAACAAAGCAGATTTTGTAATACTAATACCAGAAGATAAATATGGTCCTGAGACTTGGTGAGATGAGAATTACTACTG